TAACATCTACAAGTTCTATTGCGAGAACAAATTCGCGCAGCTTCCTGAGCCCTTCGACTTGAAAAAACAACCCAAGGTGCCCTACACCATGCAACTTGTGATTCAGTCCACGCAACCCCCTCCCGAAGGTGATCCTAATGGTTCATACGTGCACATCTTCAAGCACATCTACTTGCACCGTAACAAGTTGGCGGCCTCCGAGTGCGTGAACATGTGTCGTGGGAATCCTCTTCGTTTCGATTGGGGCTCCCATACCAGGCTCGCCTTATCGGGACTTAATTACATGTTAGACCAAATGGGAGGTAAACAGCTTCGCTTTTGGCTCCTGAAGCCCAAGTTTGAAAAGAAGATCACCATCGATCAGCAAGCACGTGACGATGGATACAGATTCATCCGTGACTTCGGCCCCAAAAGCAACAACAAGAACCAATTCATGGAATGGACCGACGAGTACATTAACACACCGGGTAGCAAAATCGAAGGGTGGACGGAGGGAAAGGTCAAGGAGGCACTCCACAATTACATGCNNGCCAGAACGCAAAAACGCTCGAATATTGGCCGTTCACATTGAAATCCTTCGCCCCATGGTTCTTCGACCGCATCCTCACTCGCATGCTACCAACCATGCGCCAGCACTCCATCACCTGGATTGGGCGTACACGGACCGGCAAATCGTTGGGATCCAAAACAGTCTTGTTTGCACAGTCTAAGTTTGAAATCGATTTGGCGGAGCGAGCAGACTTGGTTCCATCCATTCTCACGGCGAAGCATCTCGATTTCTTTAAGGCGGAGCCTCTCACCAAGTTCAAACCAGGGGTGTTTGATGACGGCATGTTGCAAAAGATGGACGCTTCGTTTTTGAAAGCCTTCCTCAACCCGTCCGTGCCTCAACATACTTAGTCAGCATTTTGTGTTTAACAAGTTTCGTCCGAAATGTGATAAGTATTCTTTCCAAAGACATGAGATCAGATTAGCAAACACATGTAGTTAGGAAGAAGATGCCACCGTTTGGGCGCGGTACTCATCAGCTCATTTCGAACAAGGTGCCGGACGCCACGCATGCAACAATCCCTATGACCGCAAAGTTGACGAAGACATGTTCGCGAAAATGAAGACCACGAAGCTTTGGGAAACTTCTTACAGCGACTTTGTCAAGTTGATCATGCCTTCATTCACAGCAGTGGACGACGAAGAAGACTTGGACGCGATTCTGGCCCGCACGCACCTCATTGTCCTTACAGACAATGGTATTTATCATCGTGTAGCATCTACGGGGAAAGGGTCAGTAGACTTCATTGCGTGGGACACTGAGCCGAAGGACTTGCTTGCTCCCTCCCAGCATGCAATCTTCAAATCGTACAAAATGAATCCACAAGGACATCAGCTTCCCCCCTCCTTCCATGAGGATTCCGCATGGTCGCAGGAAGCTCTCCGACGTCTAGTAAATGGCGAACAANNNNAACTTCCACGAGGCTATATCGTATACAGACCCAGGAGCATGGTCGGCGATGCTAGGCACCTATGCCGTAATTACAGTATAACGAGAATACGAACCTTGCTTATTGGGGATTATTTCGCAATATACTCGTATGCAGTTCTGCTTATTGGGGGGTTATTCAGAATACATTCCTATGTATCGTCGTGTATGCAGTTCTGCTTATTGGGGGGTTAGCTTGTTATAGAAAAAAGTAAAAATCTAGTCTACCGTTCCTTCTATGCTATCGTCTCTAACTTGAACTGTTAACGAGTCCTGTTGATCCTTCTTTTCTGCTTGCGAAAAAAAGCCCCATTTTGTTAGCGCTCCTCCTCCTTTGCTGTCTCTGTTTTAACCTGTGTCCTGTTGTTCCTTCTTTTCTGCTTGCGAAAAAAAAGCCCCATTTTGTTAACCCCTCGCTCTCCTTGTTGTCCAAAAAGCCTGTTAGTGCTCCTTCTGTTTTAACCTGCGTCCTGTTGTTTGTTGAATTCCTCACTATTCCCGTTGAGGCATTCGAGGCGAAGCGGTTCTCGTCCGATGACAAAACATCGGCTGCTTTTGCAGAGACCCTCATCTTGCATTATAGGAAAGCTTTCTTCTTGTGGTTGCATTAGAGCTTGTCCGGTCTGGAATCTCAGGTTCTGGATGGCTGGTTTTGTGAAGTTCATGCGAGGTTCCCAGGCATCAGCGTCGGTGCCGAGCTATGCGGTTTCCTATGTCAACTTCTGTGTTCGCCAATTGCTATGCAGCGAATGCATGCGAGAACTAGGGGCATTCGGCCCTCATTTCCTCGCTTTGAAGGATATCCGTGAGGAGCTTTGCCCTCCGCTGGCTCGTGCAATCGTGAATCTGTCCGAGTGTATTCAAGACATCACCAAGCAAGTAAGTTTCGACAACCTATCTTTGTCGCAGCAACATGTGTTTTACGATTCCAAGCTGTACCGTGAGTACATGTCTCTTCGCGTGCAGAGTCGCATTGATGCAGTCAAAGTCGATCACAGTGCATCCAATCGTATCCACGTCGTTCAAGATCTACTCAAGCATGACCTCAAAGAGGATCAGCGCCAAGAACTTGTTTTCGCCCAGACGCTGTTGACGCCCATGTCCAAGGAGGAGCAGGTTGCTTGCGTGCTGGAGAATCCCATTCACATGCAGTGGTTGACGGCTTGGTTTGGTGAAGAAGATGAGCGTGTGGCATTGAAGCCGTTGGTCACAGGCGATTTACAGGGGTTGGACATGCGAAAATTCATGCTCGGGGTGAATGTGGCCTCAGCATGCCCAGATGCCATCAAGAACCCTGGTGTCAAAGCACTTGCGAAGGACACTGGTTAACTTGTGGGTTTCTGAGGAGGTATCGTTAAAGGGATATGGTGCTTGGAACATACTAAGAAGCCGTCGCTGAGAGACTGCTTTGATGCCAACAACCCCGAAACCCTAAACTCTTAAATCCCTAAACCCCTATTTATAAACCCTAAACCCTAATACTTACCCCCTAAACTGGCCCCAAACATTAATTCCTGAACCCTGAACCCTAAACCCTAATGTGTGTGTGTGTGTGTCTGTGTGTATGTGGGTAAAGGCTTGAGCCCGAAGCGTAAAGGATGGGAGAGTTAGATGTATAGTCAGGACTATCGGGGTTGTAGGGATCGCCAGGATCTTGGGAAATTACGCACCATTCTGGCCGACTTTCCCCAGCTGTCGGACGAGTTGTTCGGGGAGTTATCCAATTTGAAATTGGGCATTGCTCACGTCCCCAAGAAGTGCGATTTCAGTGACGTCGAAGAAGCAGCCATTAATACACATCTCAAGCCCTTGGAGAAAATCATTTTTTCGTATGTCCGCAAGATTGGAGATGCAGCGGCAACCTACCCCCTCACGAGCCAGCTGCTTTCGAAATTCAAGGAACACTCCCCAAAGATTGACGAGGCGAAGCCTACCAAAGAGGAGGACATAACACAGATTTTTAAAATTTACTCATAAATCACATCAAGAAGAATCGATCTGATTAAGTTTAACAACCCCAACAGAAAATACCGATTCCCGTATCAACACCAAACCAACCTGCGACCTTGCGCTACTAAGGCTCGGGCAGCTCCTTCCGGAAGGAGCATGCGTTGGAGTGGGAGAGGCTTCAGGTTCTAGTGTTACACTTGGGGTTCGTAGGGGTTCGTAGGGATTCGACTCTCGAGTCTTTAAAGGCTTATGCTCCGAGAGGCGAACGTAAGACAAACATTTGTAGTCTACTGCCAGACGAAGAAAACTCCAATCACTATCACACGCATCATTGGCCACATCATTCATCATTATTTGCTGGAGCCCTTCAAGCCCCGAAGATTCCCATTACAGGAGTCAGCTCAAAGTGGTTTCGCGAAATGCACGGAATGCAATTCCCCAAATCCGCAAGTTCAGAGTAGATGCCCCTCAATAAGCAAGACTGTTCGAGATTTAAAGCCCCCAATAAGCAAGACCGGTTCAAACCACTAGCCCCCGGAAGTTGAAAGTTGAGCGGTTGACCCTCCTCGTGTGTTGTTTTCTTTCTTCAATGAAGTCTTGCTTATCGGGAAGTTAGTCTTCTGATCTGGTCTAACAAAAACACCTGAACCCGAAGCCCGAAACTCTAAAAGAGAGCACAATTTCAAGAGCTGTGGCCTCCTGAAGTCAACACCTGTCCCGAAGCTCACTCAGTTATTTGAAGAAATATTGGGGGCAAGGAGAACAAAAAGAGTGACGTGGCAGCGACACAAGCTCAACAGCCGAGCGAGGAGGGTGACGAAGCCCCGGACGGTGACGATGAGATCGTTGCTGGAGATGAGGTGGTGCTTAGCGTTACCAAGTACAAGGATGATTTCCATCAGAAGAAGGCCGAATGTGTCCGTGTTCTGACCAAGCATTATGTCGTCAAAATGCTTGAGGGGCCCAAGAAGTTTGAGGAAAAGAAGATTCTCAAGGAATCTTGCAAAAAAGTGAAGAAGGCATCTGATGATCAGAATGCCGTTGGCGATAATCCCCAGACTGCGGCCAAGACGTCCGAGGTCGATGCTCAGACAGCAGCCAATAATAAATTGGCTGCCGCGCTTTTCGATTAGGAGCACCCGGGCTTAGCGCCCGTAGGTTTTGACGCAAGATCCAGTTTTGGCAGGGGTGTTGCAAAACAGACCTCGCGAAAGCTGGTATTGATTTAGGACTGAAGACAAGTTGCATGGGATATGGTCGTTTTCCTCCGTGGGTGGTGTATCCATACCGCTTAGGCAAGTTGAGACTAAAGTTTGAGCACGAGCAGTGCGAGCTGCACGCTTGGCATGTTCAGTTAGTCAACCTTGAACTTCTAGGTCTTGAAGTCCGCTCGGGCCCATGCGTCGTTTTCGAATCTTGCCTTCGCTTTTCCTGATAAGGATACGACCGCTACTAAACATTAATGGACGCTAATAGACGCTAAACCGACCCAAGCCGGCGGAATCAAAGCTCCCATAATATCCTACATAACATTGCCTTTGCAACCGGGGCCAAACATCACAGATCGATGCAACCGTCGGGGAATGCTTACGGACTGGCCAGGACGGTCCAGGAGGCCTTCAGGCAAATGCATGAGTGTCTGTCCGAGACATTGTCATTCGGCCTCCAGTTCTATGT